AAACCAACCCTGAGTAGATTCTTCATTTTCCCTGTGCCTCAATTCCCTATCGGCAAAATGATAATAATAACTGTTCTTACTTTATAGAATTACTGTAGGAATTAACTGAGATAGTGTGTGTTAAGTGCTTAGAAGAGTGCCTAGCACTCCGACTAGTGATCAGTAAAGGTTAGCTATTATTATTATTGACAAAAAGGGCACCCTACCACCTGTATTGCCTACCTCATAAGACAAATCAATTCTCTCAGAGGCTTGGAGACTCAAGCTCCCTGGGTCAGCACCCATCCATCCCCTAAGCTTCCCTTTTCACTCAATTACTCAAGTCAGTTAATGTTCTGGGTTCCTGGGTCAATTACTGGGCATTTTTACCCGAAGAAGCCATTATCCAGGTAGGCATTTTTGAGGATTGGACCATCTAGCTTTAACTCTTCACATTTCCTTGAAGCCCACCCAGGGAGGCTGCAAGGCCCAGTTTGGCTCTCTGAGGGACCCTGCAGTTGGAAAGAAAGTAAATCAGTTTTTGTCATAGCCACACAGTTCCAAGCATTCTCTTCTCTGGTCTCTAGTCCAGAAATCAGCTTGCATCTTCTCCAGTGCATACAGATCAGTTCCCCCTTCACAGCCTTCCACAGTGCAATGAACTTCCCAGGCCTGGGAATAAAAAATACAATCTGTCCACAACCTATCCTCTAAAGCCTTCCTGGGCCAACTGCCAGGAACCACTCTCAACTGGTCTGAGCCAGAGCTATCAGCTCCCACTGACTTTGCTGGTGGGAGCTGCTGGGAGCTCTCTTTCTCTGTTCAGGGCCAGTTGCAGCCCAGATTCCATCACTCCCACATTCCACAGGCCAAACCCTGCATAGCTAAGCAGAATCCCATCCTTACTGTCTCCCAGGAGTCTAAAGTCAGTGACTCAGCTGTCATTATTTCCTTGAAGGAGGGGGTAGGAAATGCATTCAGTCATCCATCTGACATTTATCAAGCACCTATCGCAAGCCCCTGGTCTGTGGACTGAGGAGTCACAGGCCAGTGAGTATAGGTAATATCAGGGTTGTGAGATCTATGCAGGAGGAAGTGCTGACTTCTATTTGATTTTTTGCTCCATTATTTCAGGGTACTGTAAACCTCCTCTGATTCCTAAGCTTTGCATCAGAGTCTTAGACATTCATTATCCCCCTGAGTGGGGGCAGGGTGATGGGGCATGGTCCAGACACCAGCACAGTGCCCAGTTCAGGAATGCTGGCTGGGTAGAACCAAAGGTGATGGCTTACTCTCACCAGTTTAGATTATGTAGCCCAGACCTCATCAATATCAGGTAGGCGTCGGGGGAGGAGGACCTGTAAGGGAAATGGCATGAACCCCACTCCTGAGAGGTAGACAAGCCTCATGACTGATGTGCTCCCAGCTCTAAGCTCAGGTGGCAGGTCTGGGGAAGAACACAAATGAAGACCTGCTTACCATAAAGCCACATTTTTATAAAGTATAACTCAAACTAACAATGGTCTACCCTCCTATCCTGATGAGTACACCTTCGTAATGACCTGGAAGGCCAGGTTTGAAGTTAGACAGCTAGGACTCCTGAAGTTCCATCTAGAATGTGCTCCAGCCCAAGCCCTCCACCTATTGGCTGTCCTCTCTTCCCACTCCCCATCTCTCACTGCAAAGAGCCCCATGTACATGTGTCGACACTCCAGTCTACACATCCAAGCTCTGTCACCCAACTCTCCAACAAACAGCTGCCCGTTGGCCACTGCTGGTCTGAATGTTTATGTCCCCCCAAAATTCATTTGTTGAAATTTAATCCCCAAGTCATTCCTGGGTATCCGCAGGGAATTGGCTCCAGGACCCCCCAGAATACCAAAATCCGTGGATGCTCAAGTCCCTTATATAAAACAGCATAGTATTTTCATATAATCCATACATTCTCCTGTATACTTTAAATCATCTCTAGATTACTTATAATACCTAAAACAATGTAAATATTGTGTAAATAGTTGTTATACCATATTGGTATTTTCTGTTTGTATTATTTTTTTATCTTTGTATTTTTTTACATACTGTATTTTCTTTTTTTTTTTTTTTGAGACAGAGTCTCACTGTATTGCCTGGGCTAGAGTGCCATGGCATCATCCTAGCTCATAGCAACCTCAAACTCCTGGGCTCGAGCGATCCTCCTGCCTCAGCCTCCCGAGTAGCTGGGACTACAAGCATGCGCCACCATGCCCGGCTAATTTTTTCTATATATTTTTAGTTGTCCAATTAATTTCTTTCTATTTTTAGTAGAGACGAGGTCTCGCTCTTGCTCAGGCTAGTTTCGAACTCCTGAGCTCAAACAATCCGCCTGCCTCGGCCTCCCAGAGAGCTAGGATTACAGGCGTGAGCCACCGCGCCTGGCCAACATACTGTATTTTCAATCTGCAGTTGCAGACGCAGAACTTGGGGCTATAGAGGGCCAGCTGTATTAAGAGGTGGAGCCTTTGGGGAAGTGATTAAGTCAAATGGGATTATTGCCTTTATAAATAAAAGGTCCAAGGGAGAATTTTTGTCTTTCATCATGTGAGATTACAGTGAAAAGATGCTGTATATGAGGAAGAGGGCCCTTACCAGACACCGAATCTGCTGGCACCTTGATCTTGAACTTCCCAGTCTCCATAACTGTGAGCAATACATTTCTGTTGTTTATAAGCCACCCAGTCTAAGGTACTCTGTTATAGCAACCAGAGCAGACCAAGGCAGCTACCTCTTGGACCTACGTGCGCACACCAATAGCACAGTCTGTCTGTCCTTAGGACTCAGAGAAGACCGGTCCAGGAAGTAGGCACAGTAGAGAACCTGAGGTCCTAGGAGTCGAGAAGGGTGGTCTACAAAGAAGAAGGACATACCCCTTGTCGCTGCAGACCTGTGCCCTCCAGAAAGGTCGTGGTGGGAGGGCCCAAGCAGGGCCTTTTGAAGTGGGAATCCAAGGCACTAACCCTTGCCCTCTTGCCTTGGGATTTTCCAGGTTGCAAGCTGACAGCAAAAGCCACTCCCTGCCACTTCCCTGGCCTCTGACACTGGTTCCCTTATATCTCCACCCTGAGAAGTCAACAAGAAACAAGAAGACCAGTACAAAAGAAAAAAATACTGTTTATTCCACACGACTACATCAAGTGTTTCTCCCCCATTCTCCTCTCCCCTCCCCACCCTCCCTCCAGCCCTCAGTAGGCTTTGCTGTGCTTGGAGATAGAACCTCAGTCAGAGCCTGGCCTATGAGGCAGGAAGGAAATCTGCGTATAGGAAGGTGACAAGATTTCCAAGAACACAAACATGTCAGGGTCTCGAATTACAAACTCAAGTGTGTTCCTTAGTCCATTTGGCCGCATTAATTCCCTGGACTCTACCTGGATAAAATGCCATGGTTAGTGCAGCGTCAAATGCCCCAGGTGATTCACCAGGCCACAGAAAGTTTTGGTCTTTCATTTAAAACAAAACTATGCACAGTCAAACCATTTCTGTCCATTTTCCTCTCTTTCCATGGTAAAGGACCCACCGAGCTCTGGTTTAAGTCCAGAGAGATGCTTTCAAAACAAAATTTGTATCAACTCTCTTCAGAGCCTGATGCTACCAAAAAACAAAAAAGAAATCCACCTCATAGGTGAGTGGCACAGGCCCTAGCTGCTTCCCAGGGGTCTGGGAGAGCAAGGGCAAAGGTCATAGGCAAGTGAGCTCTGCTTTTGGTGTGCTTCAGGGACACCCTGCTGGGCAATTCAGCCTGCAAACATTCTGCCCCTGATGTTGTTCCTCTGAATGACCAACCCATCCTTCCAGCAGAAGAGAAAATGGTTTAATTCTAGCTCAGCCTTGGGAAGACAGATTTAGATGAGGGAGGGGCCAAGAAAGCATGGCCAGGCCTAATTTAGGCCAGTGGTTCATGATTTTTTTTCCTGCCATGACACAGGATAGATGGTGTCCTCCGGCATGTCCACCATCATGGACACACCCTGGATTATGTACTGTTCCCAGGGTAGCAGCTGTGATCCACTTGTCTCTCCCAAAAAAGAAAGCATACATGAAAGCAAGTGTTCGAGCATGAAAATCTGCATCTCTCCAATTTATTGAAGGGAAGTCACTGAATCCTTTACAAACTCTAGTACTTCAACTCTTCTTACTGAAAACTTGTTTACAATACCCCTCCCATACGAGTTTGTCATCTTATTCAGGCAGGTTGATAACCCTGAACTAGAGCATGGAGCCTTCCCATTGGAGACATAGTCTTTCCTGGGTGGCTGGGTCAGGCAAGTTGCTCACCTGCTCCCTCGCCTCCACCACACTCTGGCAGGTCTGGTTGGCCAGAATGTGGTGGGACATGTGTGCATGTGTATGTGTGTGCGTGTGTATGTGTGTGTGTGTGTGTGTGTGTGTGTGTGTGACAGTTCAGCACACAACTCTCCTCTGCTCACTGGCAGGGCTCCCAAGAGGGTGGCCACACGGGCATTGCAGGGCCTGGAAGTGACCAGTAGTAAGTGGGAAAGGAAACACAGCGCACCAGAGGAAGCTGGGCTAGAGGTGGGGATGTGCCCTCGCCTGGTGGTCACTCCCTCAGGGTGAGTCACCTGAGGCGCAGTGGAGGGCAACTGCTAGAGACCAGGCTCTGGAAGGGTAAAAGTAGTGAAGAGGAGGGTTGCTAGACCCCTTTAGGGATGGTCTACACGGTAAGTCCGGGACCATCTAAACAAATCTCTTGAGTTCTCTCCTGACCTCCTGGAGTCACATACTGAATTTTAGGGGCTGTTGAGCTACAGTGAGGCTGGAAACTCACTTAGCTTGGATGAGATTCTAACCCCCAATGTACTATAATGACCCCCTCCAAAGGCAAAACCCATCCTAACCCGGGGATATTCTTGACTCAGAGGAGCACTGAGGGGATTGCTTACACAAATACATGGTCTAAGACTCTGGAAAAAACGAGATTTCTCCTCCAGTATCCAAGGCTTAAAGTTACAAAGAAAATTAGAGTTAAGTCAACTTCCACAAGAGACCTTCCTGGGCTGTCATCAGCTCTCTTAAGGATGTTGTCCTTTCCCCGAGGGCCCTGCTGTCTGGTTTATTGTTTAATTTGCTTCTTTTGAGAAGTACTGGGTTGGGGGTGGTTCTGGGGACAAGAGAAAAGTCAGCATTCCTTTCCTCATTTTTCTCCAGAGTTGTCTGCTTGTAGTGGGATTTTCCAGGCTGCGAATTCCCTTAACCCACACTCTTTTGGTGGGAGGGATGGCTATGGACAGAGATTAGATTAAAATCAGGGAAAATGGCCTTATTTTTTAAATTCCCAACCTGCAGCAGACCCAGGACAAGCCCAGGACAGATAGAGTTCACTCTTGCTTCTTTCCAACATGGATTACAAAAGAACAGGTTCTGTTTTAGTGCAACTGTTTCCTCAAAGGAACCAGGGAGAGGTGGGAGCGAAGACTACATGTTCTGGCCCCAGGGCTATGGGACCCTTCTGACCTTGAGGTCAAGGCAGACATTCAGTCTGACCTTCTAAGCAGCACAGCACAGTTTTCTGAATTTTATCTCCTGGGTCCTTTCAGGGGCACAGTGTGCCTGCAGGCAAAGGGTGGGGGAGGGGCAGCAGGGGGCTGTGGCTCCACTAGATGAAGTGTCATCCCTGCCACTAACACAGAGGAACAAAGGAGAAGAGGGGTGGAAAGAGAATGCCATCGAAAGCAAGAGCTAATGGCCTTAGGAGCTGCTACAGCCCTGCCCCAAAGCCGGGGACTTTCTGGTTCCCAACCAGAATTCACCCTTCAGAAACCATGTTAGCAAAGTGCTTCTCTAAGTGATATCACAAATCCTTCTTCAGCATGGCCAGCCCAGACTCTGGAGCTCTCATGTGGGCTCCTCAGGCTCCCCATGATGTGAGATATGTGGGGAAGAAGAGGGAGGTATCGACACACGTGCACACAGTGGAGTCTCATGACCTAGGGCAAGCACGGCTGCATGTGTTGTCATGGCAGTGGCTGCAGCCGGGAGCCAAGGGAAAAGTACAAAGTGCTAGAACACAGGGCTGGGAGCTGAGCCCTAAGGGATCTGAAAGACGTTCAGCTTGCTGGTGTTCTTGAGCGTCTGGCGCCGATTGCAGAACCAGACCCGCACGACCTCGCGGTCATAGTTGAGCTCCTTAGCAATCTCAGTGATCTCCTGGCCCGTGGGCAGTGGATTCTTCTCAAAGTAGGCATTGAGAGCCTCTATGGCCTGGGGCGTGAAGGAGGTGCGGCGTTTGCGTTTCTTGGAGGGCTCACCTCCCACAAACTCCATCAGGTTCTGCTGGCCTTCCTGATTCCGGAGTTCAGCCTCATTCAACCACTTCTCCAGCACCGGCTTCAGCTTCTGGGCACTCTTGGGCGTGATGTCCAGCTTCTCAAACCTGCAGGCAACCAATGCCCAGGAAGAGACAGTGAGAGTGCCTCGGTTTCTTCAGCACACCCCGCACTCGGGCGTAAGCACTATCCTCAAAGGCTGCTCCCCGTAAGGCTGGTGACACTGACCCAGCGCCCCCTGCACCACTTCCACCAAGGTCCCTCTAGCTCGGCCAAGCCCAGACTCCTCACTCTCTCCGTTGTCCCAGGTCCTAACAGGGAAACCATTCTATGATCTTAGCTCAATCAGTAGTGCAATGATGATAGTGCAACTACTTTATGAACAACATACCAGAACTTTCACCTAAATGAGTGAAGGCCTTTGAGTTGTCATCTTGAGATGACATCCGGATGTCACGAGTGCAATTGCACTCCCATAGCAGATTGCTAACAAGTTGGGCTACTCTTTCTGGCTGAGCCTGGATGTGGCAACAGAATTCTCAACGTGGCATTGTAGGCACTCTAACAGTCACTCTGGGTCTAGTCAATGGAGTTGGCAGGCAGATGAAACCTTTTGGCCATCCCTGAGCCACGCACTTATCCTTGTTTGAAACTCTACTACTCTCTCCTTTGGTACTAGCACCAAAACCAGTTTGTCAGCTGCACACAAAAAAATCAGCTATATTACTTTATAGTCATGCCTTATAAGAGGGGGAGATGGGAGCATGACGGGGTATGGGGGGGTTATAGTTGAGAGCCAAGACAGAACTGAAGTTCCTACTCTGTTTAATTTTATAAGCTGTACTCCTTTCCTGATAGGATTCCTAAATGGATTAAGGTCTTGGGTTCTTCAAAGAAGGCCATATAAATGCTTAGGATTGGAGGATAAACTTCACAGGGCCCCCAGAAAACTGTGTCAGTGTTTGGCTACCCCAGCTGTACGTGTCTACCCTTAGGACAATCTTCCTTATTTGGAAGAAGGAAGGAGCAAGGGAGAACATGGAAAGTGGCCAGATGCCTGGGTCCCCGTGAGTGCCCAATGGCACCAGACACTCAGGCAGGCCCTGATCCTGTCCAGAGCAGCCTTACTCACCGGCAGATGGCTGACTGGCTGTAGGCTGGACCTTCTGTCGCAGTCAGAGCCTGGCCCACCTGGGTCTGTGTAAGGCCCAGGGAGAGCCGCCGGATCTTAAAGTTCTTGGCAAACTCCCGGATCTCTTCTAAGTTGATCCCATCCTCATCCAGACTTGGAGTATGTGGTTCTAGGCCAGAGAGAGGGACCAGGGATGAATGTGTAAGATAGGAATCATCACTGCTTATCTGGTTCATTGGTCTGGACTGATGCAGTAGTGGGGTTGGGGGCAGTGAGGACATCTGGCAAAAGGCTTGTCCACCCTTAAGACACTCATCACTCCTGTCCCCAAGACAAGCAAGGCTTGAGGGAAAGAGGCCTGAACCAGGCTCTCTGGGGGTGAGGGTCTATTTTCAAGTTCTTCCAGTTCTAACTGCTGACCCTCCCCCATCCTCCCTATGCCTGGCCCCAAACACACCTGTTGGCCATCCACATTCCTCAAATACTAGGTGAGAGACCACAGCAGAGATAGCCAATGGCTGGGCCTCTCAGAGAAGCAGCCAAACAGCCAACTAAGCAGCCTCCACCATCATCATGCCCAGACTCCAGCTCAACAGGAATGGAAATAAGAAAGCCAACCCCTTGCATTGGGCCTCTGCCCTCCCCCTTTGGGCCCCAGGAAGTTTATTAAGGAAAGCAGCATCTGAAGAGGTTGGGGTACCCAAATAAATGCCTCCCCCTCTTCTCCATACTCCTCCTCCAGGAGCCACTTACTGGACACCAACTGGCTGACGGTGGGGGTCTCTGAGCAGGTAATTGGGATGGGAGCGGAGGCAGATGGCTTGGCTGCCGGAGCCGGGCTGGCAATGACCACAGCAGGCTGGGGCACGGCTGATGTGGGCTGGATGGGCTGCACCTGTGAGAAGAGAGACAACAAGCCTTTGCTGCCCTCTGCCAGGCTCAGGGGGTCAGAATTCCTAGGTGGACCAGAGGCAGGGCAAAAATGGGCATGAAATCCTCACCTACCCAGGACATACCCACTTGTCCTCTATCAAAAAGCAAGTCTAGAAGCTGCTTATTAACACCCACCAACAATAATGACCAAACTATCCTAAATAAGCACAGCAACATGCCCCACCAAACTGGAGTCTCACAGCCACCTGTGACACAGGCAGGTGAGAGGCTCAGAAAGGTTGAGTACGATTGGTCAAAGCCCCAGCAAGTGCCCACCCTTGGGATAACTGCTCTCAAATCTCTGCTTTCAAAGGAGAAGCCTAAACCTGGTTCTAGAGCCTCCCAGGCCCCAAATGTCCATTAATAGGGAAATGTTAGATGACCTCTGGGACCTCCCTAAAATGAGATACTGTGCAGACACTAAGAAGAAAAAGGTGGCAGGGCATGGTGGCTCACACCTGTAATCCAGCACTTTGGGAGGCTGAGGCAGGAGGACTGCTTGAGGCCAGGAGTTTGAGACCAGCCTGAGTAACATAACAAGACCCTGTCTCTACAAAAAATAGAAAAAATTAGCTGGGCATGGTAGTGCGTGCCTGCAGTCCCAGCTACTCAGGAGGCTATTACAGGAGGATTGTTTGAGCCCAGGAGTTTAAGGTTACAGTGAGCTATAATGACACCACCGCACTCTAGCCCGGGCAACAGAGCAAGATCCTGTCTCCAAAAAAAAAAAGAAAAGAATAAGGTATATGTGGTATAACTCTTAAACGCTCCGAGGTCTGAGTCATTGCATTAAATGAAAAAAGTAGGATGAAACCAGTTTTTATAGAATAATACCATTAAAAATATTAATACATATGAATTTCCAGAAAAAATATTTGAAAGCATATAAAGCAAGCTATCAACAGGAGTCATCTCTGGAGGTGGAATGAGAATGGATTTTTACTTCTTATGTGACACATAATGTTGGAAGTTTTTTAAAAATCATTTTTAATCGAGAGAAGCTATAAATATATGAAATTAGTATTTTTAGTATGATTTTTTGAAAAAAGCTTTCTCAGAAGTGCAAGTTTCTCCAAGATGGTCCTATTCCCTGGATTCCACCCATGGTAGCCCTCAAGTTCATTCCTTCTTCATCCCCAGAGCTTAGTTTGGACCTCCTTGTCTCTTGCTAGAACTGTTTAAACTGCCTCCTAACACGTGACAAGGATTCAAACCACAGCCCAGTTCTTGGCCCCACCTGAATAACAGGGGGATTCTTTAAAAAATGCAAATCTGATGAGCCATTTTCTTGCCAAAAACCTTGCAACAGCTCCCTACTACCTAACAATTGTAATAATAAGAACTGCCATTTTTCAAGTGCTTTCTGTGTAACAGAGTGTTAATTGCCCATGTGTAATATGTCTTTAGCATTCATAACCTTCTGAAGTTGGCACTCTTATAATTCCTATTTTACAGATAAGGCTAAGTGGTTATTTTCTAAACTTGGAAGCAGCATACTACATTTGAGAACCACTAGCCTCTATACCACCTGGGATCTTAGAAATGCAAATTCTTGGGCCCCACTCCACATCTACTGAATAAGAAACTCTGAGAATCTTTGTCCCCATAAGCCCTGCATGTGATTCTGAGTTTGAGAACCACTGCTCTTGCAAAAAGTATGTGATATTTGGATACTTGGTGGCAGTTCCCTAAAGTTAGAGCACTCTCACATCCAACTCATTGCCCCCCACCCCTGCTGGCCACCTTTTTTTCTTTAGGGACAAGGCAGTGATTCTTCACAGGCACAATCATAGTGCCTCAAAATCCTCAACTCACAAGAGCCTCCTGCTTCAGCCTCTTGAGTAGCTTGGGACTAGACACCATGCCTAGCTTCATCCCTTTATATTAGTTCAATGTCCTTTATCTGTGAACCCTTGCCTAATCCCCCAAGTCTGTCAAGAGCTCCCTTCTCTGGGGTCCCAAAGCACCTTATTCGTGCCCCTATCATAGTCTTTATCATGCTCACTTCTAATTACTTCCAACACTGAGCTGTCTAAAGTTAGGAAGGACGTCTTATTCATCTTTGTGTCTTTAGTGCTTGGAATATAGTACACACTCAAAAAATACTCCTAGAATAAGGCCGGGCGTGGTGGCTCACGCCTGTAATCCTAGCTCTCTGGGAGGCCAACGCAGGCGGATTGTTTGAGCTCAGGAGTTCGAAACCAGCCTGAGCAAGAGCGAGACCCTGTCTCTACTAAAAATAGAAAGAAATTAATTGGACAACTAAAAATATATAGAAAAAATTAGCCGGGCATGGTGGCGCATGCCTGTAGTCCCAGCTACTCGGGAGGCTGAGGCAGAAGGATCACTTGAGCCCAGGAGTTTGAGGTTGCTATGAGCTAGGCTGATGCCACGCCACTCACTCTAGCCCGGGCAAAAGAGTGAGACTGTGTCACAAAAAATACTCCAAGAATAAACAAACAAATGACTAATCAAAGCCACCATGCAGAGTAGAGGAGTGGAAGGGTGAAGGGGTGAAGAGGGAGGGGGTGCAAAACCTTCCAGGGCTTTTCTGGCAGTTTGTTCACCCTGGAGCTGATCCAGATCTAGTCTAGACCACCTCCTCCCCGCCATCTTCTTAGAATGGCACCGGCCTCTTAGGGCACATATACTGTTTTTGGTGTGTGTGGGTAGGGTCTTGGGGGGGTGCTGTTTCCCTGGGCAGAACATGTGTGGACTCGCATGGGCCTTCTACTCTGGGACCTCACCTCATTATTAAGGAGAGGTACCCTGCTCTCCTAGGAGTTTCAGAAGATATTGTCCTAGCCGGCGGTCTGGAGGGAGCCGCCCATACCAGACAGTGTTGACTGTGCCCCCATCCCCTCCCCCATCCCTTGTACCTCACTCTTAGCGGGGGACTCAGGCGTGCTTGGCTTCCGGACAGCCACGGGCGGAGGCAGGGGGCTGCTGGCCAGGGTCGCAATCACCTGGCCCTGGGCGTTCAACAACAGTTGGGGGGTCACAGCCTGGACCTGCAGGCTTTGGGCTGGTGCTGGGGCCGCCACACTAGCTGAGTTCACTACCCACGGAAGTGTTCCAATAACCTGGCAGGAAATAAGGCAGGAACCTCAGGTGTGAGAGTAGCGTCCAGCTCCACCCCCCACCCAAATCCTCACACTGTCAGGGGGAGAGACTAATCACTTAACCCCCTCTGGCCTCAGTTTCCTCATCAATAAAGTGAAGGATTCACAGGCTAGGGGCTACTTCCTCTATTCCATCCTCAGAGCTGTGGTAGAACAGGAATAGGTGTGGATGTGGATTCAGAGAGACCTGGATGCAAATCCTTGCTCTGCCACATTTTAGCTGTGTGGCTTAATTTCTCTGAACCTCAGCCTTCTGTCCTGTAAAATGGGAATAAAATCTCCATCTAATAGATTTGTACTCAAAATGAGATAATGTATGAGAAAGCGCCGAGCACAAAGCCTGGCCACAAAGTGGGTGCTCCATAAATGAAACCCCCAACTAGAGTGAGCGCCTCTAGGACAGGGGGTGGCTACGTCCCTGCCTGGCTCCAGCCTCGGCAGAGAGCTGAGGCCCAGGATACGAACTGCAGCTTGACACACTGAGTTTCTCTGACCCTTACCCCAAGTCCTGGCCACCCCCTGCCAGCTTCTCCACAGTCCCCGCCCCTCAGCCCTGTCTTTGACCACTTGCCTGTCCCTGAGCATTGGTCAGGATCTGGCTGCTGAGCCCCGGCATGCTGGGAATGGCGTTGGTAATGACCGGAGTTGTGGTGAGGGAGCCCAGGATCTGGGTCTGTCCCCCGAGGGAAGCAGCACTGATCTGTGGGTGGAGGAAGAGCCTTGCTCAGAGGCCAGGGGGTGAGAAGAGCCCGAGGCAGAGGGAAGAGGGCTGAGGGGCACTGGGGTGGGCAGATGTGAATGTGGGCTGCAGGCCCATGACCACCGGCTGAATAGGTTCCAGGGATGCAGGGGTCAGCAGGGAAGGGTGGGGCCACAGTCATGGAACAGGCCTGGGAGGGTAGAAGGGCCAGGCTGGAGAGGCTGATGTGATCCTGGTCACATCTAACAGCTCCCACTGCCAAGCCAGGAGCTACACTGGATGGACACCAGCATAGAGCTGTAAGCCTCTAGCTGCACTTTAGTGACAACTCACAAGCTTGCAATCCCCAGACATCATCCCACCCTTCAAGCCTGGTCCAGCGGTTCAGGTTCTGGAGAATTTTCCCGGCCCTCTTGGCAGGGGTTGTCTGCTTTTATCTGGGATGGACGGGCTGGCAGCTGTAAGGAGAAGGCCTCAGAGCGAGCCCATCTCTGCTGATGTGTTGGAAAAGGGCTGTATTCGGGGGGCTGGTCCTCCACTGTGGGACGGGTCAGTTCCACCCTTGGCCCGACTCAGTCCATGCCTGGTCAGCCCTGGGTGAGGGCGGCAGCTTACGATTCCTGGGCTAAACGCGAAGCCTGCAGGCTGGACGGTGATCTGTGGGGGGGTGTCCACTGGCTTGGGGGTGGGGGCAGCAGCGGTGGCAGCAGTGGGCTGCGGTAGGATGGCAGGTGTGGTCTGCAGCAGCGGCTGGGTCTGGAACAGCGTCTGGGGCTGGCCTGGTGGCCGGGATTGGGCCGGCGAGGAGGCCTGTACTGGTGGGGCAGCTTGTACCGGTGCCGGGAGAGCGGTGTTCAGCACGGCAGCTGCTATGGAGCAAGGCAGAGACAGAGGTGCTCAAATGCCTAGCCACAGCCCAGAGCAGCTCCAATCCTAAGGGATCTGGCACAAGATTGAGAGGGGTTGGGGCAGTGGGCGAGGGGAGCAGGCAGCCACGATTCCCTTGATCCTTGAAGGGCTGGCACGTGCCAACATCTCTCATCCCCCCTCCCTTGGGCCAGGAGATGTGGAGGTTCGAAAACCAGATGTTGAAATCTTCTTGCAGTCCTTCTCAGGAGCTGGTCATGGGTGAGTTCTGGCGTTGGGGGAGAGGGGCAGTCTCAGATAGTTGGCTGAAGTAAGAAATGCCTGCTGGGCCAGCATGGTGTCATGGCCTAGAGTCCCACGGTGGTGCAGTGGCTCCGTGACTGGATGCCCAAGACACCAGATCCAGACTCCAGGGCTGTCACCCTGGGTGGTCTGCGGGTTCTGAGTCCAACATGGCAACGTGCAGGGGTGGTAGTGTAGGGTGGTAGGGGGCCTGGTGGTGCAGTCCTGGGAAGAGTTGCCGTTACCTTGGAGACCGGCTAAAGGTGGCTTGAAAATTCCCCCCGTAGGAGAAGCAGCGGTCAGTCCTGGGAGGGCAGCCACAGTTGCTGTAGGAATTGTCCACACGGCCAGCCCCTGCTGACCAGCCACTTGACCTGCAATACTGATGGGGATAAGAAGAGGTTGAGTAACTGCCCCTGCTGGAACCATAACTCCTGTCAGAACTGTGGCTAAGTTTTCCTGAGTCAAGACCTGCAAAAGCAAACAAGATTTCAAAAAGAAAAGAAAAAGTAAAAAATCAACATTGACAGCGCAAACACTGGGTCTCTCAGACCCAGTTGAGCACAAACAAAGCATTCTGAGGGCAAAAGGGAAAAGGCCACATGAGCGGGGAGGAGCCAAGCCCTAACTAGAGGCCCAAACCTGAGGGGGGTGCCTGGACCAACTATCCTGCTTTCAGAGGAGTCTCCCGAATTCAGGACAGGGCCGGCCCTGCTCACAGCGTGGGAAGGGTACACAGGCCTCTCCCACCAAGTCTGTTGCTTCCCAGGCCTTCCCCAGGCCCTTGCCCACAGGACCAGCACTTCATGGCCAGGGAACAGGGAGCAGAGTCTGGTGGAATCAGGTGGTCAAGGGCCCACAGAGGCCTCCAAGAAGCCCTGGTGGAGGAGACTCTTGACTCGATGACTTAGAGATCAGTGCGTGCAGCGAAAGGTCACAGGGAGCTCTGCATGCCTGCTCACAGCTCCTCATGGCACTGGGGGCCGCTCCCTGGCTCTAAATGAGGGCTCTGTGAATAACTCATTAACTCTTCCAGGCATCCACTGGAGGAACTGACAAGGGTATTCACTCAGTTAGTCATTAAACAGAAACTCTGGCAGCATGAAAGAGTTAATGGAATTTCTAGTCCTTGTGGACTCCAGGACATGACCTGGCAAACACAGATCTTCTCTTCCAAATGGGCCTGGTCTGGGCAGGGGTGAGGCTGGGGATGCTTAGTAGGAGATTCCTTCCCTCAAGCCACAGCCCCTTCCCTGTTCTGCCTCATGAAGTTCCCAGATCCCATGGCCACCCCATGCTGGCTGTCCCAGGCCTTGCTCCTACCCACTGCCCTCTGTCCAGCTCCCCAAGGTGGCCCTTACCTGGGGGGCAGCTTGCACAGCCAGTGGTGTCAGGGTCTGCGATGCCTGAGGCTGGCTTGGGGCTTGGCTGAAGGTGGCAATGGTGGGGGCAGGGCTCGGAGGGATCCCCGGGAGTGACTTCACTTCATGTGGCATTGAGAGAAAGAAGGACAAGGAGTGAGCTGGATGTGAGTGGAGGGATCATCAGAGCAGAATGTCATATCTGCAGCCTGAAGTGGTAACTCTCAGCCCCAAATTGCATTTCTGCATAACCCAAAACCAACTTCCTTCCCTGGCCGTGAGGCAGCTTCGAAGCTTGCCAGGTGCTACTGGTAGTGAGAATAGGAGGCTGGGGAGCCCTGTACCAGATCTGGAAGGTAAGCCACCCTCTCCCCACATCTAGATGAAGAAAATGCAGGCTGCACAGTTGCATATTAGCCCCTCATTTCCTGGCTCTATAGGACCTGTCACATAATCAGTGAAGGGGCCTAAAGCACACCCATCAGTGAGGGAAGGAGCTAGAATTGATGGCGGCAGCTGTCCTTGGCTCATTCAGCAACTGAATTCTTTGTTCACCCCACCTTCAGGCTACTTTTTGGACATAGGTGTTGGCTTGGGGAAGGGGCAGGGGTTCCTGAAGGGCAGAATCCTGGAAGCAACAGTCCCTGAAAACTGGACATGTCTTTGCCACACTGCAGGGTCACGGGGCTCTCTGGGCCAGCCAGCTTTGCTCTGCCATTCCCTGAGGGCTAAAGTCAGGATGAGCAGCTTCTTCGACTTTCTAAAGAAACTTCCCATGAACTGGAGCTTTTTGCCTCTTCTTGCTACCTTGGCCTGTTCAGGTATTGGGGTGCCCCCAGGAAACCTCTTCACATCCACATGACAGTGAGGAGAAGGATTATTATTTAATGTATGAGGAGACATTAAAAGGAGTCTGGATAGTAGGTGACGGATATTGGACCAGATCAGTGGCTTCTTAATACTGCTGGGCATTTATTTCTGGGCTCTAATCTAGGCCTACTGAACTAGAATGTCCAGGAGTGGCAGTCAGATACCTCTCCTCTCTCTTTTTTTCTTTAAAGCTCCGCCGAGAGTGGGATACAGCACATAGCCTAGAGTGGGAACCAGTGAATCAAATAACCTTCAGGGTTCCATCTAACCCTGCAGTCCTAGCCTGTGTTTTAATCCAGAAACACATCAAACTAACCCAGAACTATACAGTTAACAGCATATAATAATAAAACCTAGGTAGCTGAAGGATTAAAGAGACAAGCATCCAGCAACAAAGGCCTTGTAAAATAGCAAAGGGAAATGAAATGAAGGTTTATCTCCTCTGTGGAGGAAAGATACATTTCTAACTGTTGAAAAAAATAATCACAGGTGAAGGATAATCTGAAAATATGAAAATTTAAAAAATATCCTTTTGGACAAAATGTAATGAAGCATAAAAAGGAAAATGAGAAAATGGGAGTGTGACAAACAGAAATGATAAAAGCTTAGCATCTGAAGAAATAAAATATTCATTTTATTAGGGCATATTTCCAAAGTAGGACCATGGGGTCCAAGGGTTTACAAACATTTAGAGCTTCTGTTGCTTCCTGCTAGACTGTACAGAGAGACTAAACCAATTCACATAGACTTCAGCAATGTACCTATTTCTCCACAGCAACACCCAATTTAGGTTTTATCACCGTTTATTTATTTTCGGGCTTAACAGGCACATGGTACCTTAAAGTCAATTACTTTTCTTCTCACTGATAGCAAGATTTTGTATTTTTCCATGTGATGACTTCCTCCTATGTTAATAATTAATTTCTCTTCAAAAGGAATTTTAGTGCACTATACCACAAAAAAATGTTTTCTAAGCTGGGTGTGGCGGGATGGGGTGAGTCTGTAATCCCAGCTACTTGAGGGGCTGAGGTGGGAGGACAGTTTGAGCCCAGGAGTTCAAGACCACACTGGGCAACATAGCAAGATCCCCTATTAATAAATAAATAAATAAAATATGAAAAAAATTTTAAAGGACCAATACAAAGGCATTCAAAGCAGCACTATTTATGAGAATGAAAAATCAGACCGTTTTTACAATGGCCCAAACCAGAAGCAGGTGTGTGAACCTACGTCAACAATGGGAATGGCCACACGAAATAATATGGTGGTGTTGTACCACATAGTCTACCCTTTGGCCACAACTATAAAAATATATATGTGTGACAAAGACGGGATAGTAATTTAGAGTGACGCAAACCACTAGATTCTTTTTTCATCCTGAAAAAGTTTCCTATTACTTAGTTTTGTTTTGTTTTAATAAGAGGAAACCCTTCTTACTACTGCATATCTGAAAAGGTTCCATCAAGCTAAGCTGGCAGCTTCTTAGGTGGCACCATCAAAATACCTCCCTTACCTGCTTGACAACGACTAAAATTCCTTTACAGAGAAGAAGGCTTTTGTGAAAGGCTTACAAATACACAAACCTCTGGAAGAAGGTGCACACTGCTGTACACATTCATGCAAAGGTGTAAATAATTGATTCAGGATCCATTACCGAGAGCAGGTTTGGAAAAGGAGCAGAACTGAGGCACCAGAGGAAATGAGATATGGAAGCTGGACAAAAGGGTGGAAAGGGAGATCGGGGCACGGCGAATAAACCTGAGAAAGCTCCCAAATGTTCTGAAAGGGGCTCCATCCATTCACCAATGTGGCTGTGCTGAATGGAAAGGGTGGCAGGGACATAGTAGAGTCCTTGTCTTCCCTGCCTGCTCTCTAGGGCACTGCCCCTTGGGAACAGGCGATGACCCATCCTGGCCTCAACATGGAAGCAGAGCATGTCCAGGCTAGGGAAAAATGGTCATGTCTCTTGTCATTCCTTTATTCAAAAGGTAAAACAATAACTTGGGTTATTAGGGTTCCAAAGAATCTGCATACTGATTTGCAGGTACAGTAAGTAAGGTGAAGTCATGCGGCTTTCTTGTTAAGGAGTTGCTGTTTCTCTAAAGTTTATCTGTTGTCATTTGCTTTCTTCTTGGCTTCTCCTCCTGGCCCACCCCCACCAGCCCAGATCTCTAGCCTAGGGAAGTGGGGCACATATAGCAGAAGGCCAGAGGAGATGAACTGCGGTGTTCTGGGGAATCAGCAAAGGAGGCCCAGTGCTTCCTGGGAAGGTCAATGAAAGGGTGCCCCATGGCCAGAGAGCAGTGAGTCATACCACAGTTCAGGCTCTAGAATAGCCCTGGCTGTCTCAGTGCTACCTGCAGGAGAATCAAGTTCATGCCCTGTGGCCATCTTTGGAGAAGGGTAGCACCTATAAATCTGCTGGGAGGAAGAAGCGGAAATTCTGTGAAGTCCTAAATAATCTGCATCCTTAATCTGAAGTAAGTGAAATGTCCTCCCATCCTCAGCTCCTGGGACCTCCTGGCTATACTACAAAAAAGACTGAGCTAGAGAAGCTGGCAGGATCCCGAAGGGCCAGTCCTCTCTACGCTGGGCCTGAGGGTCTGGTCTAGATCTAGGAGCCCTCTGAGGTTGATTCAACCCCCTGAACCGAGCCCTGCCAATCTCCTTCCACCACCCCTGACCCATCCCAGTTTAGGCCTGGAAGTGACTAAAACTAGAACTAAAGTTCCAGGGATAAGGAGTGCAGAGTAGCCCTGGCAGCTGACTAGAAGTGCAGGCTGTGGCCGGAAGCTGTCCAGAGGATAGGAAGACAAGACCCTAAGGCCACCTGGGCCCCAAGGACACATGCTGGCTCCCCGCGCATCACAGAAGGGAGCAATACCAGGTGGGAGCAATGGCCTCGTACCAGTTGCCTCTGCAGAGGAGTCTGGGTTGTCCAGCCCAGCTTCACCGGCGGCTTCGCTGGCTTCAGCGGGGCCGCCACTCTGGGCGCCCTCGGTGGCCACACCCTCCAGTCCTTTGCCCTCCTCCTCAGTGGGGAGCTGGGCGTCCACTCCAACTTCCAGCACTCGGATGGTCTCATGGCCTGACATCACGATGACCTGCAAGCAGAGCACCGGGATGCTGCTGCGGGGAGGGGCCGGCACAGCCCTGGGGCAGAAGCTCTGGGCGTGTCGGGTAGAGAGGAGAGGGCACCTCAGGATGCAGACCTCCTGTCCAGAGGGCTGTGTGCTCTGTGACGATCCCAGAACCTGGGCAGGTTGCAGCTCCCCAACTGCAGGGACACTGCTGCTAGAAGAAAGCAGGCCCTGTGACAGGGAGAAGGGCCTGACACTGCCGGAAAAAGTCCCACAGAGCCAAACCACATGGGAGACAATTCTGTTTGCTCCCTCTCTTGGACTCAGCTCCAGGAGTGGTAGGTGGCCTGTACCACAGGCTTGCAAGGATGTCCCCTTGGTGGCTAGGATATTAGAGTGTGACCACGAGGGCTCCTAACACGGTAGCCACAGCTTAAGTTGGGCCAGGAAGTAAATCCCTTTTACTTCTCTTGAAACCATCTGGAAGTTCCCCAAAGATGAAGGGGTGCAAAATGAACGCTCCACAATGCCGAGTAACTTTTATTTCCAAAACTCTGGGGTAAAGGCTCAGGATTTCCCTGCAAGCTAACTTCCTGAAACAAGGGTGAAGAGTCCTGAAGATGTGGCCTCTTCCTCTCCACACCGCCCCATTCCTGGACTGGAGCTGTGTGTTTGGGCCTGCGGCTCCAGTCACACCCTCTGCTGTGGGCATGCCCAGTCCTCCAGAGGATCCTCCATGCACAAGTGATGCGGGCGGTCCCCAAGCCTCAGGACACGTGGTCTTCTTCCCCTGGCTGGGCACCCTGCACTTTGCTCTGTGCCCCCAGCATGGAAATGCTGCCAGTTGGGCAACTCAAGAATCAGAGACAAACTCTGTACATTAAGAAGCTTCGTGTCAGGCCTCCCCTGCACTTGGCCTGTGCCCAAAACCATTTTCATAACACATTCCTTAAGCCTGAAAATTGGATCCAGCCAGAGACTGTGCTGGAAAAAGTGACAATGTGACCCTTTAGGAGAGTCGAAGTGAAATAAATCCCCAAAAGCCGTTTCCTCACTGACTCAAACTTGACCTATGAGGGACTTCATTCCGATTACATTTTAAGAGATGTTAATCTCTTTCTCCTTTTAAAAATGACATAAGTAATAAATAGTCGCTGCTGAAAAATTAGAGTATATATATATACATGCAAGAAGAAAAATTAAACAGTAAATTACCTGATGTCCAAACCTTTCCCCATGTAAACTTACACATGTTTGTACATTTTAATTCCACTTTTCAAAGTCACAGCTTAAAATCTCCAAACTCAGCCCCTAAGAAATCCTAGCTGGCAACTACCTCTGGGCCGGTGACATGACCATGAACCTTGGTAAGAGACACTGAGGGGCTCTGTGGAGTCTTCCTCCCTTGCCCACACACTCAGTTCCTCACCGCCACCCACCCACCTCTTCCCGCCCCAGATGATACCTGCTCATTGACAGTCAGAGACGACTCTGGCCCGGCTCCAGGATCCATGGTCACTTGTCAGGGTGTGGTGGGGGCCCGCCCACACCTAGTGCATCCTGGGTAAGATGGGATTGGAAAAGCAAAGGCTGATGCGACACAGTAATGCAATTTCCATGCCGTCTAGGAAAGTCAGAAATAGAATGGTAGGAGGACACAGAACCTAGGTTCTCCCAAGTATCTGCAGAAGTATACAGAACAGGATTCTAAGAACTTTGAAAGTAAAGTGTCTCACTTCCTACAGCATCCCAGTAGAACCTACCACACTAGGAGGAACCAGGGCCATCTGTGCTTAGGGTGACAAGAGGAAAGAGAGAGCCGGTCATCTGTTCCTGGGTGTTCCCCAGTCCAGTGGGAGAGTGCACACCCAGGAGAACCCAAGGTGAATCTGACCCTTGGACACTCAGAACCTTGGACACAGGTAAGGAGCACGCTGAGTATCAGAGTGCTTCTTGGGGGAGAAATCTGGGCAGACTTCCTAGAAGAAATGGTAAAGACATAAATTAAAACAGTGGTCTCAAACTTTAATACGCATGATCATCATCTGGAGTACTTATTAAAAATGCAGGTCCCCAGGCCCCTTCCCCAAACTACCCTTAGAGAGTCTGATTCAACGTGTGGACCCCAAGGAATCAGCTCTCAGGTGATTCTGTGGCAGAGACCCAAGGACCACAGTGATCTGTAACATAGGGGGCAGGACATCCCAGATGGTGGGACAGCCTGTCACGTGCAGTGAGAAGGACTGGGCAAAGCCCATGTGAAGACAGGTTGTCTGGCTGGAGCCACAAACCACAGCTGTAAGAAATAAAGGAAATAGAGGGGGCAAATAGGTTTAGACACTTTTACAGGAAAGAAGGCAATTGGCATTTATTGCGTACTGTGCACTAAGCATTTTATGTAACACTAATTGATGTATTACTCCTGCCACCTCTGGGGGATACAGAATGGGGGGGCATTAGTATCACCATGTTACAGATGAGGAAACGAAGCTCCAAGAGGTGCTCCGGAGTCACCTTTCCCTTCCTTTCCCTTCTTTGGGTTTGTTGTTGTTGTTGTTTGTTTGTTTGTTTGTTTTTTTAGAGACAGGGTCTCGCTCTGTCTCCCAGGCTGGAGTGCAGTGGTGTGATCATAGTTCACTGCAGCCTCAAACTCCTGGCATCAAGCGATTCTCCTGCCTCAGCCACTCATAGTGCTGGGATGACTGCTGTTTTTCATTGAGGTAAAATTCTGCTATCGTCCAAATGCTTGTGTTTCCCAGCCCCCCGCCCCAAATTCATACGTTGAAATTCTAACCCCCAAGGTGGTGGTATTAAGAGGGGGGCCTCCAAGAGGTATGGGATTAGTGCCCTTGTGAAAGAGGCCTAAAAGATACCCTCGTGCCTTCCACCGTGAGGACACAGCAAGAAGGACCTACGAGGAAGTGGGCCCTCACCAGACAACACTACCTTGATCTTGGACTTCCCAGCCTCCAATTCTTTGAGAAATAAATCTCTGTTGTTTATAAGCCACCAGTTTATGATTTTGTTCTAGCAGCCCAAGCTGACTAAGACAAAGTCATCTAACATAAAATTCACCATTTTAGCCATCTTAAAGTGCACCATTCATTCAGTGGAATTTAGTATATTCACAATGTTGTACAACCATCACCACTATCTAGTTCCAGAATGTTTTCATCAACCCAAACGGAAACTCTATATCAACTAGTAGTCCCTCACCTTCCACCGCCACCTCCCAGCCCCTGGCAACCACTAATCTGCTTTATTTATGGACTTCTCTGCTCTGGATATTTCATATAAATGGAATCCTACAATATGTGGCCTTCTGTGTCTGGCTTCTTTTACTTATGTTTTCAAGGTTCATTCACGTCGTAGCATGTATCAGAACTCCATCCTTTCATGACAGTAATATACTATTGTATGGGTATACTACATTTTGTTCATCCACTCATTAGTTGATGGATATTTGGGTTGCTCTGCCTTTTGGCTATTGTGAATAGTGCATCTATGAATATTTGTCTATAATTTGTTTGAACACCTGTTTCCAATTCTTTTAGGTGTATACCTATGAGTGGAGTTACTGGATCCCCCTGGGGTTTTAGCATCTTCACCCCTTGACAGACTGTTTCCTGATCAACCAGGCAAGGAGAAACAGGAGGTCCCTTCTCTCCTGTTTCTTCCCTAACTCCTCTATAGTGGGGTTCAAGGAGAGGGCAAGCAATTCAAAATACCTAGCAATTTGAAAAAAAAAAATAAGTGAGCCTTCTCTTTTCAGGTAGTATAGGGGATGACATAGGAATTTGCTGGAAGAACTGGTGAGCATCTGCCTGCCTCACTGGAGCTCTAGCCTCACTCCTGGGTGTTACCTCCCCCTCCTTGATTTTGTACATGGGAGTCTTCCACGAATTTCGCAGAGAACTTGGCAATTTACCACCACTTCTGGAATTGAGATGAGCCATAAAAGTTGTTACATAGATAAGCCAATTAGCAAGTCATTTGCAAATTCAAATATGAGGAGGAGACAAAATTGAAAGGAAAGGTGTGCAAGGTGAATCTGGGTCCATTATCGCTTGATACATACATTTCATGGGGAAAAGAATTCCAATTCCAAAGGTGGCCATTAGGTGAGAGGCAGCAGCAGCCAGTCACAGTAGGGCAAGGAGGCATCTGCTCAAGAGGGGCTGAAAGCCTGCTCATAGTCTTGTTGTGGCCTCTGGTTCCTTGCTGCCCACCATGGCCACTCACAGGGAGTGGCTAAGCAGGGATAAGTGCCCACTTTGTGACCGTATTCTGAGGAGATTCAAATAGTGACAAGGTGTGGGGGATTCTGATATCCTTTCCACCCCTGAGATTCCATGAGCTATGAGGACCTGGGCCTCAGTGTCTGGTCCTTTGTGTCAAGGGCAAGATCAGTACTGGGTCAGAGCCTCTGGCCACACCTAGGCCCACTCCAACCCACCAACCAGACTTCAGCCCACCAAAAATCCAGACAGAGCAGAGGCAAACAACTCCCTTGTCCCAGACCCCAGATCTCCCTTGTCTCTCGGTCTTACCTTTAGATGACTCCTATCAGAGACATGTATGTGATATATACACCTCTCTAACATGTAGATGCTCAGCATTTTCACTCTGAGCTGTGCTCTGTGAGTTCCCCTTGCTTGGTATCTGTACACTTTCCCCTGGACCTGCTCCCATCCCCTTGCCAGGAAAGTTCCACATTTTTTCAAGCCTTTCCAATCAGGTTGTGGCTTGGTTTCAGTGACTAGATAGACATCTTCAGTTTGCTTTTTGACCATTTCCCCAATGACTGGGATAAACAGCACATCTGGAGGGCCTCCACTGAGCCCATGATGCTATGCAGTGTCCGCAGCCTGATGGCCAGGGAGGAGAAACAATCAGCTATCTGTTTCAAGAGAAGAGGCCCCTGTCCCCACCCCAGCAGCAGAATCCCAATACATAAACAGATCACAGCAGAGCCACTCTGGTTAAGGCTGGGGTGGGAGCCAGAGGCCACCTAGAGCCTCCTTCTTTGCCTTCTTTCTCCAGTGAGTTGAGTTGAAAAACCCCTGAATCAGACCTGGCAAGGCACCCTGGTTGGCTATCAGATGGTTCACTTATCCCTTGCTTCCCTGTGCTGACATCTAAAAACCCAGGCATCCTTGGGGTGAACGAACTGTGGGTGCTGAGGCATTTGCCATAACCTGAGAATCCAGAGAGGTCCAGGGCCATCCAGGACTTTCAGTGGGGAAGAACAAGCTAGAGGACTTCATTCTACCTGTCATTCTTCTCTGGAATGGCTTTGAGTTTAGGGCAACATTTCAAGCCACCCAGGAGGAGCACTGGGAAATGCCAAAGAAATCAGAACTCCCTACAATAGCCTGTAATCCTATTAGAAGAAATCCTGAATGCCTTGTCCTTTGTTTTTCAACACGTATTTCAGTGGCTACTATATGCTGGGCATTGGAAATTCAATGGAGAAAAAACACATTTCCCACCTTTGTCAAGAAGATTACAATCCAATATGGGGGATCAAGGAAATAAAAAGGTAAGTGTGATACAGTATGTTTAAGTGTCATGGTGGATGAATAGAAGGTGGTTGAGGGTCTGTAGGAAGGGCACCTAATACTGTTTTGTGTGGTCCTAGTTCCCAGGGAGGCATGTGTTTCAGACATGAAGTTTTATGTAAGAAGCATCTTGTCCTATGTAGGAAAATGGAACTTGTTTTATGGGATTCCAATTTTCAAAGGTGGAGGGTTCTCTGTGTAAAGTTAGCAGACTCCAAGGAATGGCTGGTTAAGCTGGACTTAGTTTACTTTAATTCAACTGTAAGAAAGTCATACTTCTTATGGGAAATCAACTTTCAAATTTTTAGCATTGTAATTCTCTCTGGCTAGGTTGTTTGTTGACATCAGCATCTCCAGCTCTACACCACTGTTATATTTAAATTATGCACCCACTTACCTCGGCAGAGCTGCCACTTAGAATGATCACAAGGAAAGGGCAGGAGATTGGTCTAGATAGGTGGCTGGGCTGAGCTGAGGGCACCCCCAATCTGTTCTTTACTCCCTCCCTAGGTGGTCTCGCCTAGTCTGACAACTACCAAATCTAAATCTCCAGCTTGGACTTCATCTGGGAAATTCAGACTCTCATATCCAGCTGCCTACTAAGTGTTCATATCTCATCTCATACTCAACATGTTCAAAACCGAACTCCAGTTCCAAAATCCCAAACCTGTTCTACCTGCAGGCAGCCTTCTCCATCCTTCCCCAGACACTCAGGCCTTGCTGTTATCCTTGTCTTCTTTCTCTTTTTATCCACATTTGCTCCTTCAGCAAAACCAGTGGCTCTATCTTCCAATATGCCCAAAATCTTCTCCTTGTTATCACTAGCACCCCAGTCAGCTTCAGCAGGTGGCGTGAAGCAGCACCAGGCCCCTCCTGCGCGCAAGTATTATCTGCCCTGTTCTTAACTGGCCAGACTCCAGGCAAGCCGTCCCTCTTTCAAGCTGTCATTCAC